GGGACTGCTCAGGAGGAGTAGGTCCCCTGCCTGCCTCCCCCACAGCAGCTTCAGCAGCAGCCATGAGGGCGCTCATGCCTGCTCCTGGCAAAGACCTTTGGCGGCAGGGGGCCGGGCTGCATGTGGTGCTGGGCCAGCTCCTGCCATCACTCACAGCTTCCAGCACCACACAGAAGCCACATGCCTTTGGGCCCGGCTGGATTCTGCCTCCGTGTGTCCCATGCACCATTGGGCCAGCTCGGCTCCATGCAGGCAGGACTCGGCTTGGCCTGAGGGCACACGGCTTTTGCCTGCAGTGCCAGGACCCCAGGTGACAGCAGGAGCCGGCCCAGTTCTGTCTGAGGGCGCGCAGGCGAGACCGGGTCGGTGCCACGTGCAGCTGCTAGTCTGAGGATTTCTGAGTATCAAAATAAGAGAACTGGTTTGAGATGCTGCAACAGGTCACTCATCTGGAGGTGACCCATGGGTGCAAATATAGAAGAACAGAGATGCAACTGGTATGTGGTTATTTTTCAGCTGAATTTAGCTCATTATGGATGTGAACTGTAAGGACTTCTCTTTGATGTAGATAAAGCTTGCAACAAGTGTAGATTTCATAAAGGCAATTATTCACTACTTTATCTGTTTATTTTGTAAAGGGAGAAAGTACAAACTAACAGTATTTTGAGCACTACAATTTTACTTTCTCTCATCTTCTCAAAAGAGTTGTAGAAAAGGGGTTTTAATTTTCTAGTTTTCTAGTATTGTCTGCTGGTGAGAAGAAATATTCAAAATAATAAAAAGAAGTCGGTGGGGAGGGCGGCAAGCCTTAAAAGGTAACCACCTTTTTTGGTCATTCATTTGTAGTAAAAAATGTAGTTTGTTACGAGAGCCAACATGTCAAAGAACAGTCTTGTTTGCTTCAAGTGTTAGCCACAAGCTACTGACCTTTGTTTATGTTTCCTTTTAGGTTAGGCCTATGTTATACCCCAGGGTTGTCCCAACAAAAGATGTCACGTTTCTCGTAATTCAGTGAGAAGTATCTTGCTCCACTGTGTTTATTCCAACCCTTGGGAAATAGAAAGCACGTTCTAACTCTTCAGCTTAAACTTTTTATAACTAATTCTCCTGTATAAAGAAATGCGAATATTTAGTTGCGGAGGCCAAGGTATCAGATGATACAAGCCAAGAACCCTGGATTATGCCACTGGTCTCTTGGGGATATTATGAAAAATAACTGGGAACTTCAGTGCTTTGAAAATGTGACGTGCAGTAAAATGCTTAGCTATATTATTTCTGAATATTTCTTGATGCTTGCTCACCACTTTCCAAAATAATTTTGTAACTACAGGGCTATGAACATATGAAGCACTTAATAAAAGTATTAACTTGTTAACCTCACACTGTTGTGAGACTTTTAAATGGTATTATCATTATTTCAGATGAAGAAACTGGGACATATGATCAAATGACTTGCACAAGGTCATGTGTCATCTATGGTAGAGGCAGTAATAGAACTCTGGATCTACGGACTCCCTAACCTTCAGGTTGTCCCCTCCTGTTAGCCTCAGTTATGTAATTTCATTGATCTTACTAAGTGTGTGCATTTATGTCTGTGTACATGTGTGTGATCTATATATCTCTTCATAAATATATTTTGTGGCCTATGTCGTGAAGAGTGAATGGTTTACTTTTGATTATTAACACACAAATTAGAGTAAATGGGACCAGAAAAAGATGACAACGTTGGAGAGAGAAATCAGAGGAAAGTAGGGAATGATGTGAATGAGAAGACTGAGGTCATTCGGTACATGTGCGAGCAGCAAAGACTTTTCCAGCCCAGACCTGGCATCAGAAGAGGTACAGGGTCAAAGATGGCAAAGCAAAAAAGGGAGCATTTAGAAGATAGTATTGGCCAGAGTGCATAGCCTACCACAGTGGGTAAAGGAGGCAATGGTAGAAGAAGGGTCTGTGTGGGGTGCTGGGTAGAGGAGAGTTATGCCAGGTCTTGAAGATGAAGATGAGATTATTGGAGTTGATGTGGAAGAAAAAGAGGACATCAGAAAAGGAGTTAAATGGGAAAGAAATATTGGTAATGTACGGGAGAGGGGGGGAAAAAGATTTTGAACGTACCATTTTTGATAGGCCACAGGGGGAGGTTGATAAAAGGGCAGAAAGACTCTTATGGTATTGCATTTGAGGTAAGAGATGACAGGCATGGATAAAATCCAGGATTTAGTAATTGGTATGGTGAGGGAGAAGTGGATTTTAGAGAGACTGCAGAGGTGGAGTAACATGACTTAGTGAGAACTTGGATGTTAGGCAGTGATAAGTACTACATTTCAGTCCATCTGTATCTGAAGACTTTGAAGTAACACTAATTTGGAGGGTATTTTTTTTCTTCCTGTGGGCTAAAATCAGTATGTTCTGATTTAAGGGAGGCTTTATCTGTCTTCATTTTTCCATCAAATTTTGGAGCATATATTTGCTGTCATGCTGATGCATGATGCATTTGAGCGTCTATTGTTTCGTCAACAGATATACTGAAATATGGTGCATATGCATGGTATCATATCAGTTTTAATCTCCACAGCATGCAATTCAGTGTGCTTCTGGTATGATACATCTGCCTCTTCTGAAGAAGGGGAGAAGCTTTCAGCTTCATTTCAATTATATTTTAGGTATCAGTCCAGTTAACAAAAAATGAAAAATTCCATCTGTTCAATTGTCATGCAGAGGAATGTTTTATCTCTGAAGCACATTATCACATCTAAAATTGACAGCATAATCTGTCTTTTTTTTTTTTTTCCCCCCTGCTCTCTTGGTGCAGCTTTGATTAACAGGAAAGAATTCTCTTCTTATAATCTGCCACAAATGAGGAGATATTTTGTGCCATTTCTACAGTGTCCTAATGGCCAACAGAGATCAGATATGTATCCAGTATCCTCATTGTAGCCTGTTTCTGTTCCTCTCTTCCCACCAAACCCATAGAAGTCCCATGCACTTAATTTGCTAGTAAGACTGATCATACAAGAATAACCCTTATGAGAGTATTTGGCATTCCAGTGAACAAAACCAAGATGCTCTTTAGCACCAAATTTACCTTCCCAACATCTTTTAGATGTCTTTAATTTTGTCCTGCTGAGCCTGATTTAATTAAGCCAAATTTAATGATACTACCTATGAACTTTTCAGCTTTGTCTTTTGTTAAGAAAAAAATTATTTACCAATTTCTTTTGTTATTGAAAAGAAGTTACCGAGCACTGTTTTCTTGCAGGTGTCTCCAAAACAAATGAAACTTCCAGCCTAGACTAACTGGAAAACGAGAATTTGCATATAAAGTTATTTTAATGAACATTCACTGATTCAATACATTCTTAATATGATTGTTACATGTCTCTTCTAAAACAAAATATTTTGTAGATGTGTCTGCAGGCTATTCTAATAGTTTCTAGAGGCCTCAGCTAGGTTCATGTCCCCATCGTGGTACCCTAGTGATTCTCAAACAGGGTGCCATGGCATCCTGGGCTGCCTTGAGATTCTTTCAGGGGTGGAACAAGATGCCATACAGTCAGTTAGCATTGTTAGGTATGCAAACATGATTGACAACATAGACCCACTAATTTCAAATAAGATCCCATTGTGTTAAAAAAAATTCTGACCTGTTGTGGTCTTGAGTTCCTTGCAATCAAAAATTTACTGTACTATTTTTCCATAGTTCAAAAATGAATAAAAACCCAAGAGCTGGCATTTTCCAAGGGGGTCCTTAAAACTAAAAAGCTTAAGAACCACTGTGCTAGGCATAGTAAAAATGTTAGGACAAGGGTTGTTCTGTTTAGAGAGTTAACTCAAAGGATTAGAAGTTTAGCAATACAGAGTGCTAACTTGTCAAAAACATAAGCTAACAACATTTTATTTAAGAACATGAGAAGCAGGAAGTCAGTGAGGCTATTAGATGATACCATGGAAGAGGTACACTAAAGGAAGATAAGGTTATGGCAGAGAAGCTAAATGAATTAATTTCATTCTCTTCAATTCAGAGGATGCTGGGAAGATTACTACACCAGGTCCATTTTTTCTAATGAATAAATAATGAAAGGTTAGGTCAAATTGAGGGTAACAACAGATGGGATTTTTAAACTAAATTGAACAGTAACAGGTAACTAAGACTGGCTGGTATTCATCCAGGAATTTTAATATGAAATTGTAATAGTTAGCAAAAGTACATAACCTGTTGCTCGGATCAGCCTCCATACCAGTAGCTGGAGGGTTGCCAGTGTAACACCAATCTTTAAAAAGGGTTCCAGAGGTGATCCAAGGAGCTATGGAGCAGCAAGTATCTTTTATTCTCAACAAATTGGTAGCATCTATAATAAAATAGTGTTTGTAGTCACCTGGATAAATATGATATGCTGGGGAAGAGTCAGTAGAGTCTTTGCAAGGAAATTAAGCAGGAAGAAGGAATGTCCTTTCATGAATTGAAAAGCCCTTAAAAGATAGCAAACTGGGTTGTTGAAGAAAGTAAACAGTGGAGTCCCAAGAGATGGTACTGGGACCTGTGCTATTGAACACCTTCATAGACATAGCCGCCTACAAATTCATTACAGGGACGTAGCAAGGGATTAGAGATGCTGTGCTTGCCAGTTCCTTGGGGTAACAAGGAACAGTGGTCACAAACTGACAGCAGATTTAGGCTAGATATTGGGAAGGACTTCTTCATGGTAAGGGTGGCTAAAATTTGGAATGGGCTTCCAAGGGAGGTGGTGCTCTCCCCTACCTTGGGGGTCTTTAAGAGAAGGCTAGATAAGCATCTGGCTGGGGTCATGTGACCCCAGTTTCCTGCCTAGGCAGGGTGTCGGACTCGATCTGTTGAGTTCCCTTCTGACACTAGCATCCCTAGCATTTATGCATCTGGTTTAGGTGGCTGGTAAGCATATGAAAGATGACCTGTAAAAGGGAGCATATAGTAAAGTGGCAGATCTTGCAGATGATACGGGATTATTCTGGGCATTCAAATCCAAAGTGGAAGGTGAAGAATTTCAGAAGGGTATCGCAAAAATAGGTGAGCGAGCAATAAAATAATTCACATGGGAAAAATGATAGGCCCCTAATTAGCCATTATTATTCAGGATAGCGATCTAGGAATCATTGTTGAGTTTCCTACAAACATTGGGTCAATGTTGGTAGCAATCAAATGTTAGGAGTCATTAGGAAGGGAACAGAAAACATAACTGTGCACCCAAATCTTGAATATTCTTGATAGTTTCATAGTAGCTAGGGTCAGGAGGGACCTGAACAGATCATCTAGCCTGACCCCCTGCCACAGGCAGGAATGAATGCTGGGTTCACAAGACCCCAGACAGGTGATCGTCCAACCTCCTCTTGAATATGCCCAAGGTAGGGGTGAGGACCACCTCCCTGGGAAGTTGGTTCCAGATTTTGGCCACCCTAAGTGTAAAATATTGCCTTCTGATCTCCAAACTAAACCTGTTCTCCATCAGCTTATGACCATTGTTCCTCATCACCCCAGGTGGTGCTGGGGAGAAAAAAGCTCTGCCTATTTGCTGTTGATCCCCCCCGATGAGCTTGTAGGCAGCCACCAGGTCCCCCCTCAGCCTCTTCTTGCTGAGGCTGAACAGGTTCAGGTCCTTCAGTCTCTCCTCATAGGGCCTGTCCTGCTGTCCTCTTGCCAAGCGGATGGCCCTCCTCTGAACCCTGTCCAGGCTGGCCACATCCCTTTTGAAGTGTGGCACCCAGTACTGGACTCGGTACTCCAACTGTGGCCTGACCAAAGTCGCATAAAGGGAGAGTATCACCTCTCTGGACCAGCTTGAGATGTACCTTTGGATGCATGACAAGGTATGGCTGGTCTTGCTGGCTGCGGTCTGGCATTGGCGGCTCATGTTCATCTTGGAGTCAATAATGACTCTGAGATCCCTTTCCGCCTCTGTGTTTTTTTGTAGTCTGTCTAAATCTATTTGCAGCCTCTCTCTCCCTTTAAGTGTGTCCACCTCGCCCCACATCTTAGTGTCATCAGCAAATTTGGACAGCGTGCTTTCCACCCCCTCGTCCACGTTGCTGATGAAGATGTTAAACAGTGCGGGCCCGAGGACCAAGCTCTGGGGTACCCCACTGCTCACATCTTGCCAGGTTGAGTACAACCCGTTCATCATTACTCTCTGGGTGTGCCCCAACAGCCAATTTTTTACCCATCCAACTGTGCAGGCATCAATGCCTCAGTCACTTAATTTATTGATGAGGATGGGGTGAGAGACAGCGTCAAAGGCCTTCTTAAAGTCTAGAAAGACTATGTCCACAGCGACACCATCATCCAAGGATTTAGTTACCTGGTCATAAAAGGCAATCAGGTTGTTCTGGCAGGACCTGCCTTTGGTGAACCCATGCTGATTGCCCCTGAGCATGATCTCCCCTGCAGGTCCCCCACATATATGCTGCTTGATGATCCTCTCCAAGAGCTTCCTGAGCACCGAGATGAGGCTTACAGGCCTATAATTACTTGGGTCCTCCTTCCTCCCCTTCTTAAAAATAGGGACCACATTAGCCAGTTTCCAGTCCCCCGGCACCTGGCCAGATGACCACGAATGCTCATATAGCCGGGCCAAAGGCTCCGCGATGACCCCTGCCAGCTCCCTCAACACCCTTGGGTGGAGAGCATCTGGACCTGCAGATTTAAAAATGTCTAGCCCTTCCAGAAGATCCCTAACTACATCTGCACTGACTGAAGGCTTGCTAGAGCTATCCCCAAGATTGTCCCTACCTCTGGTAGGTGGGATATCCCAGTCCCTGTTCAGGAAAACTTCCTATTGCCCATCTTCTCTGTAACTAGAATAGAGAACAGG